GCATACCCGAATGTCCCATCTTCGTGACCTAGCGGAATACGTTGCGAAAGCGAAAAGCGAAACAGCGACGACCCAGTCACCTTATGAGAAGAACAAACAACAGATGGACACTAAGAATATCACAGTGGATTCCTCGCTTCGCGAATCCACTACGATATTCTTAGTGTCCACTGTCGTTCCTCGTGGACGCAGCCACCGACGACAAACAGGAAGATCGTGGATGTCTGAAACACTAGGGACAGGCGTAAATGAAACTTGTGCTGGGCCCGCACACCAGGAGAAGATGATCCATCTGGATATCTATCTATGTATGCAATAGAGCGGTAGAGCGATACACTCACCATCGTGGTCTTATAGCACTGATAGAGAACTCAGGCGGCTTTTTGGTTGCTGTACGCATGTTCGTTCATGTGTTAAGGGAAGCGATTCTGAAGATAAGTCATCCAAGCAATCCCAGAGATAATCTTCATAGCATAACAGTAAATAACATAATCAAAGTGCGAATATTCTATATAGGGGATGGATTAAGCAATGCAGGGGATGGAAAGTTGTTCTGCTGAATCAACGAAGATGTTGCTAGATATTTGTATCTGGTGCATAAAATACGGTTCATAATTATACGAACACCCATATTGAAGTTTGGGGAGTTTCTGGAAAGAACTCCAAAAACCGTTGGTACTGCGTGAAAAAGGATAGCCAAAAACGGTGAACGCAAGACAAAAATGAAAATCGATGATTTAAGGAGTGTTTTTGCACCGAATGCGTTTTTAGCGGTTTATAACTTTGTGAACACCTCAAACGATCCTCCTTCTCTTTTACAAAACTTCAATCCTTCGAGTATTTTGGAATTATGAAAAAAATTGTTAAATGTTTAGTAAAAGTCATAGTATCAATCTGAGATATCTGTTACACAACCCAGCGCAGTTCAAGAAGAGAAGCGTCACTCTTTTCAGATGGCTCAAAATGCTTTTGGAGTCTCTACCAGTGCTATGAGCTAAACAAAGCTTTTTGCGTATTTTGTTTGACGCTTGAAAATCCCTGGTATTCGTCGTTTTCCAACCTTATTCTAGAGTTTCCGAGTTTTTGCGCCCCAAAACAGCTGAATGTCTGTTTGTATGTCTGTCTGTCTGTCTGTAT